ATTTACATGTTTCCTTATTACGTTCTTCACCACAGGAATTTTGATAGTAAAGAATGCTCGCATCTTGCCCTTTCTGTCATAATGCTTGCATCTTGCCCTTTCTGTCATATAGTGTATGCATCAGCTAAGTGTATCTTTCTAATAGATTTTTTAAAAATTTATGAAGCATATATCTTCTCTATCACTTGAACAGTTTGGTCATTGATATTACATGTAAATAAATCACACAGGCCAATATTGGATGAGGTGGTAATCCGGCAGCTACTTATTTTATCATCTTGATCATGTATATAAAAATTGCAATGTATACGTTGTCATTGAAGATTGCAATGTATATGTTTAATCAAATTAAATATATAATCAAATAAACCTAAATTATAATAATATCAAACATGAAGAGTTACCTTGATATTATTACAATCTAAATTATACTAATATCAAGCAGTGTAAAATAAGTATCATCATTAAATCAAATACATAATATTTATAAAGAATAATCATGAAAAAAAAACATACATGTTGAAGGAGATGATGTTGTAATTTCTTGGTTTATATATAGCCATGAGGTATTGCATGTGATAGGATAATAGTCATAATTAGAGTTTTATTAGGATTTGAATTGTGTTACAATCAATCCGGGAGAAGAAGAGGGTGGTGCTGGCCAACAACAAATTAAAACGAAAATACCTTCATACACCTTTTAATGATTCACCTACACACAATTTTCATTTGGGGGGTTTGTTATCATTTAACCATATCTATCCAATGTTAATTAGACTATATCAGTATAAAGTTTGTTGGAGTCTACAGATAAGAATATCAATCCAAACTCTATATGACAAAGCATAGGTAGTATAAAGTTTGTTGGAGTCTACGAATCTTTTCCGCAAAAGCATAGTTAGTGTAAAGTTTGCTGGAGTCCATAGATAAGCATAGTTAGTATTAAAAAATTTAAAGATAGGATAGTTAGCATAGTTAGTGTTAAGTTTGCTGGAGTCCATAAGCATAGTTAGTATTAAAAATTAAAATTTGATTATAGATAGGATAGTTCAAATTTTATAAAAGTATTTTTGTCAGAAAAAAGATTTTTTTTTTAAGCTCGTTAAAGGGGGTATGATATGATAAGAAAATTTTCAAAACTGAGCAAAAAAAAAATCATTAAAAAAGACAAAAAACGAAATAAATAAAAGAAAGGAATAGATCATGGCTGCAGAGACGACGACGACGACGACGACGATGACGCCGCCGACATCAGTGATGGTGGTGGGGATCGACGACAGCGAGCACAGCTTCTACGCTCTCCAATGGGCTCTTCTCCACTTCTTCTCCGGCGGCGGCACCGCCTCTCCGTTCAAGCTCGTCGTCATCCACGCAAAGCCCTCGCCTGCCTCAGTCGTCAGCCTCGCTGGCCCTGGTAGCTTAAAAAATTTGCGATTTTTATTTGGATTTGCACTAATCAATTGATTAATTGGTTTGAGTCAACTGAAAATTGGGAATTGAAATTTGAAGTTGCTGTTGATGTGGTGCCTTATGTGGAGTCGGATCTGAAGAAGATTGCTGGTGGGGTTTTGCAGAAGGCCAAGGACCTCTGCGCCGAGAATTCCGTATTTCTCTCTCCTTTCTTTTACTAGAATTTCGCTCATGGGCGGCGTATTGGTAACAATTATAAGGGTTTATTCCACAAAATCTCCAAGAAGTTTTGGCTCATTATGAGATAACCCTGAAAAGTTTGGTAATCTCACTTAACCTCCAAAGTTTTTAGGGGTTAAGTTACAATAGGCCAAATTTCTTGCGTTTTAATGAAATTTGCCCCACTATTTATTTTAGGGACCCCCCCGCCGCTGGATATTGGGTGCTTAAGTATGTAATATCTTGAATTGGTCCCTCAAATAATTGAATTTCTATTAGATCCCCAAAATTTTATGAGTTGTTTCAAATTGTTTCAAAATCAGTCTCTCAAATCACTGAAACTGTCATTAGATCAGTCAATACTTATAAGTTGTTTCAAATTAATTCCTTTAGATCAGTCAAAACGATGATTATGTGACTAAAAGATACAAATAATAGGTTGAATGTTAGTGTTAAAATTTAAAGGGGCTTTATGATTCATATAAATCATAGGGGATTTTCTGTCATTTACCCTCTAAAATCTGTCTTTTTATAAAAACCCCAATAGATGTCCATGCATCTAAAACTCCAGGTACAAGAAATATTACGGAAAAAGTGGTAATTTTGACAAAATCCAATTTAACATGTTTGATGTTTCTATTTTTTTTCCCTTTGAAAGTTTTAGCTATTTAAATTATTATCTTCAGTAAAGTGTTAATAAATTTGAGTTTTGATAAAAAAAATTAGATGTTATCTGTGATTAAACATAGATATCTTTTAGTGAAGTATGAACCTATGCAGCCCTCAACCAATTTGAAATGATCTGAAATAAATAAACAAATTGTTATTTAGTAATAGAGTGTTAGGTAATATTTTTGTTAAATATGTATTTATTGGCAGATTGGGTGGTTCCTTTATGAAAGTTGACATATATTTAGTGTTTTTATATCTGTATTTTCGACGCTAAACTATTTTAAAGACTGTTTCCTTGTTCTATGATCTTTAAGCATTATCATCTTGTTTTCTTTAGGACACTTTATCTTAGCTTTCATACTTGATAAGAATGTTGTGAAGATGACTCTCTTGTTATCTTGTTATCTGACCTTTTGGAATTAAATATTATAAAGAGCTCTCTTGTTATCTGACTTAATGTTTCGATTTACCGATCTTTTTCACTTCCATTTTTCTTGTGCATCTCAATTTACTAATAACTATGAGTGTGATACTCATATTGCTTACGTAGAGATTATGATTTAAATAACTTACGTACATAGCATTTCAACTGTATTTCCGTGTGCGAAGATCAAGTTCTTGATGCGTCTATCTATCGATTTATTTAATTGTATTTTCCAGGTTAGCGATGTGGTGCTTGAAGCTGTTGAAGGAGATGCAAGGAATGTCCTCTGTGAGGCTGTAGAGAAACACCAAGCAGATATGCTAGTTGTGGGAAGTCATGGTTATGGAGCAATAAAAAGGTATTATTAGTCACACATTTTCATTTTGATTCTTTAATTTGAATCTTGTTAGCCACAGGATACACATAATTTTAGCTATTTATTTCTTTGTTAGTTCTCGTGTTATTGAAGATGTTAATTGATATGCCAAAACTTCCCGTGCCATAGTTGTCCTTGTTATTCAATTGTGGATAAGATCCATTGTGATGTCGGTGTCTTACTCTTACAACGTAGGTTGACTCCCTTGAGCGAATTGTTCTGACTCTTTTACTCTCAAGGGGATTCTATTTGTCAAAAAACCAAATTTCGATTTGTTGAGGGTAAACAAGTCAAAAAGAATTTCACGCATGGGGTTTACCTGCAAAATAAAACTAGAAGGTACTAAGTTTAAAACAGGGGGGTATATCTGCAGTGAACCTCTCCAGAAATTTTGCTTGAACGCACATACTATGTTGACTTTCATATCTGCTTAGTAACCACCAAAAAAGATTTTTAAGTTTAGTAGTGAGTTGTGTATTTGTTTGTGGAAGTGGGGGAAATTTATGGATGTTTGTGGAAAACAAAACTAAGCATGATTTCTTGTTTCTGTAGAGGATCTTGATAGATTGCTTGAAAATGTTAGCCCAAGTGAAATGTGAAAATATAAGGAATTTTACTCATAGATGGCCCAATTAAATATAGGAGTGAAGAGTTTATTGGCTCCAGAGATTTTCTTTTTCCTCTGTTCAAAGTTTAATTCATTCGGGCATAGACGAACTTACAAAAGCATAATAACAGAATCAGCACGAATTAAAGTTTTTTCCTCCCCTGATATTCTCCTTTTATGCTTGTGTGACTGACTGTGGAATCCCTGTGGATTATGCAGGGCTGTTTTGGGGAGCGTCAGCGATTACTGTGCTCATCATGCCCACTGCAGCGTGATGATAGTGAAGAAGCCCAAGCACAAACACTAATTTATTCAGCTGCTTTCGATGTATTTACCAGTTTATAACTCATCTCCCCCTCATGCCGATAGAGCATCAACAAATAACTAAGGAACAAGCAAAACTGGATCAAGAAATAATAGCTTTACCCGACGAGGTTTGCTGTAAGCTATTGATACTTTGTTAAAGTGAATGTATTATATGTGCTGTGCTTAATACCAGTTAGAATATGAAGAGAAATATGCTTTGGGCTTGTGTACCTATTTTATTTACTCTACACATTAATGTTGTATATGAGGCTTTCCCATAGCTTAGGTGGGTTTCGTGCGATTCTCTTATTTATAAAGTTTATGCGGGTTTGTGAAATTCACTCTCTTTTAGCCTGCTAAATCCAAACTGTATTTCGTGGGCACTGAGCATAACTGGGAACGTTATGGGTCCATGAATCTGGAGATTTAAGGGGAATTTGTCGCTGATCGATGTCGATTCCGATACAATTTGTGATACAATTTGTGCGCTTCAAGGACCAGGTGCCCTTGTGGTTTGATGGGCATTTGATCGTACGGGGTAACAAACATGTTGTGGAGAACACGATAGAGTCCTCCAAATGCCTCCCAGTACCCGGTCAGGACGGCAAATATAGACCATTATGTTCTTTGTATTCAGTCTGTGTATACTCAGAATCTCTAAATTGTTTTCAAGAACCTTGCAAAATAATTGGTTTGTTTCCTTCCAAAATCTATATATTTTTAGCGGCTTTTCATTTCTGGATGCCAGATTTTCATTTTCGAACAAGAGTATAATAAAGCGACCACGAATGGGTTAAAAACACAATTTATTTCAAACGAACAGGCCAGCAAAAAGTTTGGGACAAAGGCCTCCTCCTCAAAAGGCCCAGTTAGATGGGCCCACTGGCATATAGTTTGACAGCCTCTCTAGAGCTCGGTCGCTAATCGCCTAGGAGAGGCAGAGGGACAAACTCTTGAAAGTCCAGGGTCCTGTTAAGTCGAGGAATGTATTATGAAAATGAAATAATTTTCGTTTATCTTTATTGTTTTTATTTAAAATTAGAATGGATATATTTGATCTTAGTTGCTATTTGTGCAAGGATGGGGATGGACGGAAGACCGTCAGCGAGAGTTGATAATACTTCATTGGCGTTTGCAAATGAAAAACAACTCTCAAATCTTCACCGTAACTTTTGGAGTTTTTGTGTAATGGTTAGAAACTTTAACAATTTGAAAAACTAGCTATTGTCGACAGTGCCACAATGAGCAAATTAGTGGCTAAGATGACTCACTTATTATCTGACTGGTTAATGTTTCCATTATGGGTGTTAATATTTGTTTGTTAAAAACAAGATAATCTCACGTCGAGCATCATTTTAGATATTTAAAAGCATTTAATGATTATTAGACTTAAGAATAAGTTTTAAAACCTCATGCAGGTAGCGCAATTTTAAATGGATTATAATTTACTCTTATTATGTTGGTTATTATGTTGGTTATTTAACTTTGAGAAATTATTTTAAAATAAAAAATAAAAAAATGCATGTTAGTTGGAAGTTTTTGACTGTTGGAAAGTGAATGTTATTTTCAAGGGATGCTTTAAAAATATGCGACTTTTGAAGAAATCTTTTCAACCCTATAATACTTAAAACTGTCACTTCTTTTTCAAACTTTTCTCTCTAAAAAACTTGTAATCCTACAAATTTGTTTCATTGAGAATTTGTGGAAATTTTCAGATTTGCTGTCTAGAAGTTTCATAATATGTTATATGCTGGGAATATAATTCACTTAAGCTGAAGCAAATTTAGATTACTAAGGGTGCGTTTGGATACCATTGCAAGTTTTTGTGGTGTTTTTCTAAAGAAACACCATGTCGTTGTGTGTTTTTTTTTAAAATGTTTCGGAAACACCATTTTGAGTTTCTTGAGAATTTGTGGAACTTTTCAGATTTGCTGTCCAGAAGTTTCATAACCTGTTACATGCTGGGAATATAATTCACTTAAGCTGAAGCAAATTTAGATTACTAAGGGTGCGTTTGGATACCATTGCAAGTTTTTGTGGTGTTTTTCTAAAGAAACACCATGTCGTTGTGTGTTTTTTTTTAAAATGTTTCGGAAACACCATTTTGAGTTTCTTTGTCAATACTAGTTTCACCATTTCCATACACATATATTATATTATAATAATATCATATACCAAATATAACATATATGTTATAATATATTTTTATATTAACTAATATATTATATTTTATTATATTAATTATATATTATAATATAGACTAATATAAGATATAAGATATATTATATTAACAAATATAATTTTTTATTGTATTATATTATGTTTATTTTATTATTTTTTAATAGTATAATATTTTTTGTATATTATATATATAATGTATATTATATCATATTACATCAATATATGCCATACTATAGTTTAATAATATAATATAATATAATAAATTAATTTATTATACTTTAACACTTTTATCATATTATACAAATTTAATATAAAATATACTAATATAATATGTTATACTAAATAACATAGCAAATTACTTATTGTTTAATATTTTATATTTTTGACAATATTTATAAGTTACTATGATATTTAACTTTAATATAATAGAAATTTTACTACTATATTATATTAATTTAATATAATATATAGTAATCTAATATATATTGTATTTTATTTTATAAATTTTTATATTATATTATATTTTTCATCAATTCATATTAATGGAATATATTAAATTAATATATTAAACATATTTTAAAACAGCATGCGAAGTATGTGAAAGAATGTTAGCCTGGGCTTTGGTGTTAAGGATCTCGCTGAGTATTTGTGGGCCCCAATTTAAAAGCAACAACTTGAGATTAGGGGCTATAAGATTGACGAGAGCTAGAACTACAATGAACAGAATTGGTCCGTGCGTCGTCGTGGTATTAGCGTGAAAATCTTAGAAAAATAATGGTTTAATCAATTGTTCTAAAAATATGATATATATGTAATCTATTTGCAAATATTTAGTAATTCTTTTATGGAGCTTCTCAAATTTGAATTTTGTTCCATAACGAATCTCACTTTTATGTAGGAAAAGCTTGAATTATAATGATGAATATGGGACTACAAGTAATAAAAAAAATGTTGACGTCCTGCAAGCTAAGAAATATGAAAATCTTAGAAAAATAATGGTTTAATCAATTGTTCTAAAAATATGATATATATGTAATCTATTTGCAAATATTTAGTAATTCTTTTATGGAGCTTCTCAAATTTGAATTTTGTTCCATAACGAATCTCACTTTTATGTAGGAAAAGCTTGAATTATAATGATGAATATGGGACTACAAGTAATAAAAAAAAACGTTACTGTCCTGCAAGCTAAGTAATATCATATACCATAATATAAGGTTGATATGATAAAAAGGAGAAGAGTTCTGTGTTAAGAGTTGAATGTTATATTTTCATAGTCTAACATGTCCCGATAGTTCGAGCGCTCTTTTATAGGCCGAAACCTAGACTCATGCACTGTATTAATTTTTGGCCAATGGAATTTAAATTTAAATGGCTTTAATATCATCTTAAAGTCTCTAACCATACCAAAACTCCAAAGTTGAATTGAACCTACGCGCTCTGATAATTTCTCTCAAACTTCCTGTCACGACACTAAAACTCTAAAATTATGGTCATAATTGAAGGTTATATTTTTATATTTTAGCACTATAAAAATTTTCTCATATATAATATATAATATTTCTCCAGCTTTGAGGAGTTGGAAAGGGGGGATGTCGTGCTTATCGGTAATGATCGCGTATGCCATATTATGGTATTAGTACAGTCGGATCAGAATGTGTGACGGGGTGACTAGGGAGCTAAAGGAAGTGAGGTTCGTTCCACAGTTGATGAAGAACATTATTTCTCTTAGGACTTTGGAGGTAGCAGGTTATCGGGTGATTTTAGAGAATGCCGCTTTGAAGATCACAAAAGGGTCTATGGTGGTGATGCGAGGTGTTAGGAAAAACAACCTATACTACTTGAAGGGCAAGACAGTTATAGGGGGTCTGGCAGCTTCGACCACTACAGAGGAGAATACTACCAGCTTATGACACATGTATTTAGGACACACTGGTGATAAGTCCCTGCATGCGCGTGATAAGTCGGTTACATGACATTGGTAAATAGGGGTTATTGAAATGTGCGAGAGACCTGCAAGATGGAGCTGTGTGAGCATTGTCTACTTTGAAAGAAGACTAAGTGAAGTTTGGCACCACAATTCATAACACCCAATGTATATTAGATATATTCACACAGATGTTTGGGGCCCTTCCAAGCACACATCACTTGTGGTGGCCTAACTATTTTGTCACTTTCATTGATGACTATTCCAGGAGAAATTGGGTATATACCATGAAGCATAAACACGAGGTCCTGGATATTTTTGTGGAGTGGAAGAAGAAATGGAGCTAACAGACAGGTAGAAAGGGAAGAACACTTCGTTCAGATATGGTGGAAAGTATAAGATGATCCCATTCTCTACGTTTATACCCTGAAGATAACGACATTAGGTGACACTTCAACAGTTCGAGAGATACCATAACAAAACGGGGTAACTGAAGATTGAACCATACATTGCTGGAGAAGGTGCGATGTATGATGCCACAGAGTGGATTGTCGAGATCTTTAAACGCGAGGCTATTGTTTTTTGGCGAGCCATCTCGTAAATAGGTTGTCGTGTACTGTGATATCAGGGGGAAGATCCTATGGATCTATGGTCTGGTTCGGTGACTAGTGACTATTGAGTCGCTTCGGATATTCGGGTGTCCAGCTTAATTATCATTCAATGATCGAAAATATAAATCCAAGAGCGAGGAAGAGCAGTTTTTGTTGGGCTTTAGAGAATGAGTTAAAGGCTTTAAATTGTGGGATCCACTGAACAAGAATATAGTCATTAGTAGGGATGTCCACGTTTGATGATGAGTACATTATGAGGCCTCAATCCCCTAGCATGTGGAGGAAGACCAGACTATAGGATATGACAACAGGTGAATGGATGATGTGACTCTACCCACTTCAGATAGTATTCTATCCATTGAGGCTCCTACAGAGGTAACACTGGGAGGATGATAGCATGACAGACGCATTCGGGATACACGTGGATGGTGAGACTCAGGAGCAGGTGATAATCATATTTTATTATAATTTATACCCTCTGTATCTATTTTTATAATGAATAAATATACCACTAATAATTACTTTTATCTTTAATTACAGGTTAATAAGAATAAATCCCAAAAATCCTCATATCTCACAAAGTCCCTTGAGTAAATAAAGAAATAAGAGAAATTCAAG